AATAAGAACACGTGCACATTTAATTTTATTATTCAAAACTTTTTATAACTGCAAATATATTTTATTATAAATTTGCTGGCCTAAAAGTTTATGACTTACTAATAGTTAATTATAAAAAGTAACTCGCTCAACGAAAATATTTTCGCCAATATATTATTTCGTTTTATTGTCTTTTTATCGGAGTCGAAAATTTTATAAATTAAAATTGGAGCATTTTATCGCAAGTAATTATTTTTTTAATAAATGTCATTTTCCTAATTCTCAATAAAACCCACAACTAACTATATTATTAAAATATTTTTCGAATAATTACCAATTTTAAAACTGTGCAAAGTTTTCGTAAAATAGTTTCTTAATATTAAACGCTTTTTTATTTCATTTTCTAACATAATTTTTTTTTCTGATAACATAATGCAACTTAAAATTGTGATTAAAATTTTTTAATAGATATTAAATGATTGAGCAAAAAAGATATCGTTTTGCATTTGTATAAGAACGTAAAACCAAAAATAAGGGGAAAAAACCGTGTTTCTTAAAACAAATAAAAATTTTATACATAGAAGATTGCAATAAAAAAACTAAGAAACCCCTTAAAACATTTTGTAATCTTTTTCTTGGCAAGCTAACTTTAGTGTCGCCATCTATTATCTTATTTAAAAATTTGTTTTTTTCAGAAATTTGTTTTTGTTTGGAATAATTAACTACTTTTAGCTTCTCATTCTAATTTTTAATAAAACTGCCAGTACAAAGTTACAATATACCTAAATAGAGTAAAATTAGTGTATTTTTAGTTCATAAAATTGAAAAATTAGCTATAATTATTGAAGAAAGTAATACATATAAATCAAATTAATAAGACAAATATTTAAAGGATATAAAACAAATAATTAATTGCACAAATTTGTGTTTTGGAATCATTATATATGACAAGTTAAGTCCAATCGAATAAAACGAGGGCACATTTAATCCAAATGCATTCATTCAAATTTTAAAACCCCAATAAAAGATGAAGTAAAACCGGCCGTCTGCAATTGTTAAAATTTTCAGGAAAAGCTGATTTTCTCCAACATTAAGCCAAAATGAGGTAAGTAATACGAGATAATGAGATTGTGCCAAAATTAGATAAGTATGATTAAGCCAAAATTAAATGGGTATGATGAGATAATGAAATTTAGTCAAAGAATGAGATTCTTTCAAAGCCAAAACTCCTTAGTTTAAGAGTCATTAAAACAGTGCAATCCAAAAACATAATATACGAAAGTATTGGAGCGTGAAGTGAAGGAATATTCAATTTTTTATTTTGGATTTCGGCCAAATCCAAAATAAAAAATTTGATAGTCCCTTCCCTTCACTGTCTTCCGGTTTTGCATATAGGTCCCGGTCTCGATTTTGCAACTAGCTATCGAGTGAAAATCAAAATTAAAATTAATTTAACTTAAATTTTTTTATATTTAATGTAAATACTTGGATATTACGACCAAACAGAAATTCGACGAAATCTTTAAGTGTGCTATGTGTTATATGACTAGGATTTCAGAAAAGTGACCAACGAAAAACAACTTCGGAATTCACAGAACACTTTAAAACTGGATTGAAAATCACTCATAATATTAAATGATGTGCCTGAGAAATTGTAGAATTTTTATAATTTTATTAAAAAAAGAAAAAAAAATCAGTCTCTCTTGGCGATGGAATTTAAAGTAGCATTATATGATGATATGTAGTTAAAATATTAGCTGGCGATGAGGAAATAATATTTTAATGAAATTCTCAAACAATAACTAACAATAACAGCTGTAAATATTGATTAAAAATTAGTCGCAAAGAAAACGTGAAACTTAATGAGAAATATTGTGGTACGGCCAAAGACAAAGACACAATAAAACTAAAAAAACAATTAATAACTACAATATGGATCAGTAGCGACATATGACGAAGATGGAGATGATCGGTTTTGCAACTAACGTTCTGTAAAATTTAGCCGGATTGTGAACTTGCAGAAAAACCTGATTTTCAATGGCATATAAAATATGGAATTAATTGAATTTATGGCGGTTTCACACTGTGGTAGGAAATGAAATCCAATATTTACTGAGAACATGAAAAATTGATTTTGATTATTGATTAAATAGTATTCCTCGGTCCATTCCTAGATGATCAAAATGGTCCTCTGGCTCATCCGCCAGTGATGCTTGAACCCAATCCAGAAGACAAGGGAACTCCTGCATCAAGCATTGAGAGAAATTTGCCTTAGTGTTGGACTTTTTTGGTGGAACTTAAGCTCCGTGGAATGCAAATGTGTTGCATTACACGGGGAGAAAAAAAATACGAAAACATCCCACGGTTAGTCTGACGGCAAGGAAACTCGAACCTATGATCTGTCTATTACTGTAATTTTTTTAATTTCAGAAGATTTTATAAGACCTTTTTTTTTTCCAATGCCCACCTGTGTTTACATCCGTCAATTCAGGCCTTTACAGGGCGATTTTGTTGGTCTCTCTTTCAGGGGTACCATATTCGGTGGGCCAACGTCGTTGGCACAGTGAGGGCAGACAGTACTGAGAAGGAAAGAACATCCATGCCTTGCCCGGGATTTGAACCCAGAACCTTTCTGATGAATTTTATAAGACTAAGTATATGTATAATATATGTTAACTTTCAGTTAATTGTTAGCTTATTTAGATGAGTGCTGACATCAAGTTAGAAATAAACTAGTTTGAAATAAACTAGTTTGAAATAAACTAACTATGCCTAACTATGCTACGTATAGATTGAGAAAGAAACATAATTTCTAAAATAAGAAAAATTTTGTTTTATTTTTATTTCATTTTCTTGCACTTTACTTTTGAACACTCCAGCCGGGAATTTTACTTATTAAGTTAAATTAAGAAAAGAAAAAGTCCCCTACATTTTAGTGCTTCACAAAAATTTAAATTTTTTGGTGTCACGTTAAGGACAAAATATTCTCAATTTATCTATTTATTTTTTTAAAAGAATACTTTTAATAATTAATAGGAATGATAAATCTATGTTTGAAAATTAAATTTGTTTCATTCAGTTGCTATTGAAAAAAAACCCATCTTTTTCTGCCACGTTCGGAACAGCTATACTATGTTTAATTCTTAAACAGAAAATCACATTAATTAGACAAAAAATAAGTAAACTAAGAACAGTCAGTAAATTAATCAAAGTGCAGTTTATTAACAGACCAAAATGAAATTTCATGATATAAGTTGATCCTGAAAAAAAAAATTCATTTGCACATCCTGAGTCTTAAAAAAAAACAGTTATGTTTGACACAAGCAATAGAGAAATTTTTTTTTAAGAAACTACTTATAGTTAAATTAATTTTATGCTATGCTAAACTGCTAAACATTTTAGGTTTTAAAAGAAAAACATACCCGCAACAACCGTTGTACGTCAGGGGTAACATAAAGGTTAAGAATCTATAATTTTACTTTAAAACCCATGATTTAATTTTCGGTTTTACTTCCCAGACGTGCTAGTTACCCATTTATTTGAGGCTTGGTGAGCTTTAAGCCACCACCAGGTTTCGAACCAAAGTTTTTCACAGTTCAGCGTCTTAACCACTGACATGATTAATTTGAGGTCAAATTAATTTTAAGCTTTAACTGTTAATATGTTTTAGGTTTTTGAGTATCAGAAAAAAAAGCTAAGTTATTTTTGTATTTTATTCTCAATTTTAGGGGAGAGATCCTACATTGTATAAGTGTTTTTTTGTACAGTTGCCACCATTTATGGCATTTTTACAGCACATGCAGTCACATTTTCTTATTTACCTTTTTACTGCTATAGCTTTACTTATTAATTAAATTTCTGCTTGTAATCAAATTCTGCTGACAACTTATATTTTCATGCGCAATAGAATAAAATTAAGACTTCTCTGCAAAATATTTCGTTTTCAAAAACATTTGTAGTATTATATTCACATTAATTCCTTCAAACAATTGTCATTTTATCAATTTTACGCAATTTTTTGCAGAATAGTTAGAGTTCTGTACTTAAAAATAATTTTAGCTTACATCTATACACCAAAAAAACGTGGTAACTCTACAAGAATATTTTTATAGAGTAGAATGTTCTCAATACAACTCTTCTTTAGAAATAATCAGTAATATGATTTGTGTGAGGAATAAATAACAACTTTCATCTACTTCTATTCAAAACCTTTTCATAATACCAAAGTCTTTTCAGCCTCTTCCCCATATTTGGTGATTATCTAAGCGAACTACAGGTTAAGATACAATAGAAACTCAAAGGCATGATTAGAAACATTTTATTATTTTTGTATAAAATTTAAAGTTCACTTAAAAAAATTTATATATATATATATATATATATATATATATATATACGGTTANTTGTAATTGTTTATTCTAAATTAGGAGATTGTTTATTCTAGTAATTCTAAATAAATGGTCCGTAAATTTCGATCCGTAAATTTCAAGTAACCTTTAAATATTCTGTCAAACAGGTTTTAAGGATATATGTTACCGTGAATGACTGAAATCCAGAGAATGTCGATTTTCACCGGTGAATGTCAACAATCACATAGTCACTTTGGTGAATGTCCGAAATATTTGTTATATCCCATTTGATAATAATTTATTCGTTGATAGTATTATATTTGTTTGATATATTAATATCTGCTGAGGGTAGATTAGGAGAAACATCAGCGTTCGGAGAACTAGTTAAATGCATACTGGGCAGTTGAACTTGACCTTGAAAAGCATTGATGTAGGACATACCGGGCAAATGTATACCGGGTGGTGGTACTGAACCTTACGAAAATATTGATTTAGGGCATGCCAGGTAAATGTATACCAGGCAGTGGCACTTAACTAGACCTTTTATATATTTCGGACATTCACCAATATATTTATAAAGATATAAATGTTATATATACATTTATAATAATGAAATATATGTTTACTATATTTTGAACAAAATTTAAGTTCTTTTCGACTCGGTCCGAAAACTACGGTCTGCTCATCTTTAATACATAACCAATTTGATGATGATTTGGTTAGATGACTCTTTGTGTCATTTTGGTACAATCTGGTTATCTAACATTGCAATCGATCTGGATTATCTTCCTTAATCATATCTGACGCTTTTTCCCCGATCATTATGATGGGGGCATTAGTGTTTCCACCAACTATGACTGGCATTATAGACCCATCAGCTACTCGAAGTTTTTTTATTCCTCTTACTCTGCAAAAAAGAATATCTTATTTAAAATTATGTAACTTTTTTTGAAAGAACAAAGAGTATACTGCAAAAATAAAGAAATTTTTTTCACCAAAAAACACTGTTTAAAGATAAATACAGATTTTTTCTGTCTTTAAAAATTTTTTTTAAAAAAAATTCCCGATTTATTTGCAGACTTTCTTAATATTTATGTATGTTATAGTTCAGAGATATTTAGTTCGTTGTTTAGCTCGTTAGATGCATAGTTCGAACAAGTCCCACGTTCTATATACTTATAATGTATACTTATAATGTTAGTTTATATACTTATAATGTATATTTCCTTTTTGTAGGACTGAACACAGACAATTCATAAACAAATGTCATAGATCAGAATATAAAATAAATAAGGATATTCTTCAAATAAGAAAAGGACTTTGCTTTGTTCATGATAATCCTGCAAAAATTACATGCCTATCATCCTATTTATTCAGTAAATAATTAATGGTTTTAAATAATTACTTTATTAAATGATACTTTATTGAACTTAGTCTCCGAATCTTAAATTTTAAGGTTGCAAGTATTTTTGAGACTTGAACTTTAAAAATCATGTCAGTTTGAAAACGTTTTAAGATACATACAGACTTTAATATTAAAATTCGGTAGCTTAGTTTCAATAGACTACATTTCAATGAATAAACTGGAACAAAAATTATTCAAAAATATTACTTAATATATGAATAAATAAAGTAATTTTTTATATAAAATTCTCGTAAAGGTAATTAGGAAGAGCTAAGATTTTTTACGGTTTCAAGAGGGGGGACTACCAAGTTTTAGATTATAAAAATTAAATAAAAAATGGCCCATGATGTCATTATATAGTTGTTATTCTGAATGTCACTAAGTGTTTAACTCAAAATGTCCTTTTATTTAGCACTTCAATGTAAAAATTATGAAGCAGAATACCATAGCAGAAATTAGAGTACACATATATTTACATATACCGTCATATGGGGATACTTTGTGCAGATGTGTGTAAATTCGAATTTGGAACTTTTCAAGTGCTGTTATTCAGTATTATATTTTTTTCACGTTAAAAATGTGTGGAATTTGAAGATAGAAGTCTCCTCTATTACTACAAACATTTTTTCGAATTTTAAAACAATCTCAGAGTGTGTTTTGTTTATCCAATGTCAACAACTTTCCGTGAACGTCGGATGTCGAAAAGTGTGCGTGGAAACTTTGGCTGTGAAATACAAAGATGTTGATAAAATAATTGTCGTAAGTACAAATTTTTTTATTTTTATATTAATAAAAATTATATCATGTTAGCGTTAAAAAAAATTTTAAATTAATAACAAATAAACGGAAAATGAAAAAAATTTCACTTTGCAATTGCACATTGATACTTTGTGCAAAGTTTCATTAGTTTATTTTTCGACAGAAAAATTGTCAGACATTATAAAAAAAATACCTCGAACGAGAAATTACCGTGGTTACACTTTAGAAAAGCTGCAACAATGTTTGCAAGCAGTTGCTGGTGGTATGTCGATTGCAGAAGCTTCTCGGGAAGTACAAAATCCACAGAAATACTATCTCTAATTAAATTCACAAGAAACACGTGAAACGTGCTGGTAAACTACTATTTTTCTTCTTCAAAGGTTTTTCTAATGAATTAATCAAACGATCTGACACATAAAAATATATTTTATAAGGCATCAGGGGATTTTGACAGAAACTGAAGAGCAAGTTCTGTCGTGTTCATTCAAGCATGTTATGTTCAAATTTATCAATATTATAAATGTTACTGACTATGTAATAATTAGTATTTTTGAAATTTCATCCATTTCAATGTTCCCTTTCAATCCTTTTTCTTAAATTCAAATGTTTTGAAATAAACATTCTTTTTAAGAAAAAATTCTTGATAAAAAAAAAANGTCGATTGCAGAAGCTTCTCGGGAAGTACAAAATCCACAGAAATACTATCTCTAATTAAATTCACAAGAAACACGTGAAACGTGCTGGTAAGCTACTATTTTTCTTCTTCAAAGGTTTTTCTAATGAATTAATCAAACGATCTGACACATAAAAATATATTTTATAGGACATCAGGGGATTTTGACAGAAACTGAAGAGCAAGCTCTGCCGTGTTCATTCAAGCATGTTATGTTCAAATTTATCAATATTAAAAATGTTAATGACTATGTAATACTTAATATTTTTGAAATTTCCTCCATTTCAATGTTTCATTTCAATCCTTTTTCTTAAATTCAAATGTTTTGAAATAAACATTCTTTTTAAGAAAAAATTCTTGATTAAAAAAAAAAGGTGAAAATCATTTTCAAACTAATATCTTTACATATCTTGATGTTTTTGTTATTAAAAATGTCAACAATTGACTTTTCTAACAATTTTATATCAATATTTTACTAAAATCATGATTATTAAACTGAATTCCTATCGCTGCACAAAGTAGCCCCACTTGGGGGCTACTTTGTGCAAGGTATGTTTTGACTTATTATTGGTAAATATTACATACAAATAACGTCAATATTGATCAAATTCACTCGTCTGAGTCCAGTTATGAATATAATATCGATAAAGTTTACTAAAGTTTGAATTAACATAGCTTTCTTACATGTCAAAGTTCAAAAACTGCGAAATCCTGCACAAAGTAGCCCCACATGACGGTACTGGTAATAATAAAAAAATCCAAAAAATTACTTCAATTGTGGATCCACAACGGCTGTTATGTCTGTTGGACTACCCATTTTGCAGGTACCCACAGGATGGTAATAGTCGAAAGTGTAGTGGACAGCTAAACATCTTAAATAATCAGTAGAATAGTAAGTACTGTTTGCTTCATACTGTTCGCATCCGGGAAATTTAATATCGAACATTTTGGCCTGAATTCTTCTGAAAGCCTCAGTCGTAGTAACGATATTCACTGCCTCTTGCATACCTGAAAAATTGAAGATGTAAACATGAATGAAAAGAAAGGGGGACAAGGAATAAAAGTTTAAAAAAGAAATTTCAAATAAACACTTCTTTTGGACGTAATCTTAAAATTCTCTTATTTAAAATAGCGCGAAAACAGCATTGTTTAGCAAACTAATAAAACCACTGCGGTTTACGTATGTTCATTATTTATTTTTTCTGAAATTACATATTTAAAAAACACGAAATGAAAAATAATTAGCGTATGTTTAGTTTTTCCATACTTTTGAAAGTGTCGGATAAAATTATGATAAAAAGTACCGATATTCAGAGTGCCGGTACTTTTAACCGTAGTATTCATTTTTACCTTCCATTTAACGGGATAAAAATGTAATATACCGTTATTTTTATAGTAATAAATATTGTGAAATCACTAAATCACTCTACCACCGAAATTACGGTATAATATTTTACGTTAAAAACAAATTTTACGGATGATGCACCCAAAGTGCCTGCTTATGAATCGTAATTTAATCCAAAATTTTTTACTGTGTAATTGATTTAACTGTAGAATCATGTGAGAAATGGCTTATATTTTGTCGTATTCAACTGCGTACGATTCAATCGTACTAATATATAGCTTCTGGTATGACTGTTATAATCATTTCTTAGTTGGTTTTAATATGTTTAATTGCCATATTCTCAGAACTTCATTATGTTTTGATGCTACTTGAATACTGTTACTGAATTTTGAGACAATCGCCATGATTAGCATCAGTTTAGAGTGAGCTTGAATGGCTTCTATAATCAACATGTACTATATATATATCTACGGTCTGCTCATCTTTAATANAAAATGCATTTCTTCTGTCTTCAATTCATTACGAATTAAAGTGAAGTCAACATTGCTTTCGTCATTCCAGTGAATAAATATGAATTCAGAACATACAGAATTGTAATAGTTATAGCATATTCTTCTTCGTTATAGAATAGTATATATATTGTAAGAAATGTGCCGAAATAAAAGTATGAAACTTGATCCTACGTGCACAAAGGACAAACTTTTTGTTATAATAATTTATTTGATAATAATCTTAATAATCGTATTACCTTCTACAACCCTTTCAAGATCAATTGGTTTGTCAAATACGTTAGGATCAATGAGAGGATGTTCTTTAGGATTTTTTGAAGCCAATCTGACAGTTCCTCTGCTCAAAGTGTGCAGGAATGATGGAAGAATACTAAATGTATTTTTACCTTCATAATGACTGTAAACCTTACTGTAAACCTGCAAAGAATGATGTTTCAATTTATGTTGGTAACGTTTACTAATTTAGAATTACAAAATGATCTTACTTTGCATGCATGATACAGAATATGGAGTGTTGATTTTTAATTATAGTTGTTATTGTAATAAATTTATACTGAAATTTAGTTTTAAATAATGAAACGTATTTTTTGTACAATGTAAATTTTTGGCTTCAGAGAAATTTCTTTGTCTTTGAAATATATTAATTAAAACTTCAGTTAAAGAATTGTGTTTAATTTTGTTTTCTGTAAGGATTTTATTAAATTAAAAACTTAATGTTTTGCATACCTTAACTTTAATCTTAAATAATGAAAGACATTTTAGTACAACTTAATTTCCTGACGTACTTTAAGTTTCCGGCGTACTTTGAGTTTCTGGTGGAGAAAGCTCCTTTTTAGTATTGGAAATAAGCTTAATAATGAATTGATTAATAAACAGTTTAATTATTATAATTTTTGTTGTCATTTGATTAAATTCAAAGCAAAATTTTTGGGATATTTCTAAATGCTTCTAGTTACTTTAACTAAAGTTTTAATTATTGAGGTGCATCTTTTGTTATCTTTCAAGGTTGCACACTGACTGCAACTAAGGTTGTTAATCTCTTTCAGAGATTGTCAAGAAGAACTCTCTAAATTAGTCACTCAAATATATTTCGATAAGATTTGAATTTATTTATTCGGCGTGTTAGTTTTTTCATTTTTATTTATATATTTTTTCGCGTTTCCTTATTTGATATTTTCCGCATTTGGAACGGATGTTTGCCCTGTCGCTGGGAGAGGTTTTGATGGTCTCTCCTAAAGGTTTTCTTCAACCCAAAATCAGTGGTAAAAATTTCCTCACCATTCAAACACGGTCGTAAATAGAGGTGGATGCTACACAGAGGTGGTTTTTCCTAGAGGATTCAGTGTATATTAGATATATAAAAAATATATACATCACTGATTTAATCAACCAATTGTGATAAATATCTTTGGAATTTAATAATCATGCTTATGTTTGTATGTGTTATTTTATAACTTGTTTTAAACAGCCAATTCGTATCGAATTAGCAGCGACTACTTTTTAACGTCGTAAAATTTTAGATTTTAACCTAATCCTGAAAGCAAAATAAAATTTTTTTCTCACTTCATCATGAGCAACTCCTGCTGGATGACTCGCATCTGTGAAACCCCACAAATGAATATTTAAATCTGGCCAATCTAGGGCAGGGTCGTTGTACTTGGAATTAAACCACGCCAGCCCTTCGAATCCCGTGAAGCTCGTTAATGGTCCTATAAGAAAAAAATATACTCTGATTTTTTTAATTTTTTATTCTTTTTCCTTCACAAACATTAAGTCCTTTAAAGATATATGTAAAATATAACAAATATCTATTATATATAATTCTCTTACGTGGCTCCCAAATTTTGGCTGTATTTCTTTTCCGCTGGTGGCAACGTTTGCTTTGTTTCGAAAACATCAAAGCATTCTGGCTTTTAATGATGTGTTTCTGATCTAATATATATAATTCTCTTACGTGGCTCCCANTCATGCAGATCATAAATTTAATTTTGCTAATTCATTATATATGTTTGCAGATCCACTCAATATTTTTTAAAAAGAAGTTTTATGAAGCGTTTTAGACCAAGGAAGTAGAAAACTATAAAAGCAGAAATAATTTAGAAATTGATGTACAATGTGTAATTAAAAATATAACGTCAACAAGGATTAAATTTTTAGGCTGGATATGTTAACTTTGCAGCTTATTATTTAACATTGACTTTATATTGAGCCGTGTTTCTTCATTTGTTTAGAAGTTAACTTTCTCACCTGATAAGAGAAATTATAGCAAACTCTAAAAATGCTAAATTAAAAAAAACAAAGATAAGTTTTATTGAAAAAGAAGGGGTAGAAAATTTATTCCATTATGAAAAATGGCGTAGAGCTACGCCATTGCAGACCGCGCAAAACTTAGTGTAATTAGCAGTGGAAATATTTGTCCTTAGGCTGTTAGAACATTTATGAATCACTAAAACACAGAGCAAAAAATATTCTTTAAAAAATGCTGATGGGGAGTGTTAAATGCTCTGGGGCTGATATGATCCATTATGATTATATGAAATCTGGATCATAGAACACAATAGAAATATAGTACAACTAATTAGATGAAATGATGCAAAAACTTTTAATAAAATAGCATTGCTTGTTCAAAAGATCGTGTTCTATATTACTGCATGGCATTGCCATGACTCAAACTGCACAAATAAATTTGGCAAAATTACAGGAATTGGAACTTTTTATTCATTCTTTATATTTATTAGACCTCGTCCCTCTCCACTGACTTCAATCTTAAAGTTAGCTAACTTTCTAATAGGAATGTAATCAATTTTCGAAAATGCTCTATCACTGTTTTCCAGGAATTTATTGACTCTCAGCTAATAGTTACCAAAATTACCAAATATGCAAAGCGTTCCTTGTGATGATCTTTATTTCCATTGTTGTTGTTGTCGTCGGTCATTAAGGCAGGCACGTGCAATTATTCCTGGTTTTCAGTGGCGCCATCTATGGCCAGGAATATGACTTCAGCCACACATGTCGCAGTCCATAGAGTGGATTAATTCAAATAACCTTTCATTAATCCAATGATTCCATTTTTGGCCTGAATCGGAGAACGATCAATCTCCAATTCACTACTCTCTGAGTTACCTCAGGATATAATTTGTTATGAGAACATGGAGGACTTTGTGACCTGACAAATTTAACGTGCATAAGTCACCATTTACTACATGGGAAATCTTCGGCTAGCAGGAATCGAACTCCCATTCTCACGAACGGGAGCCCAGCGCTCTGCCAACCTGTCTATCCCGGCCCGATCTTTATTTCTATTTTCTTAATATTTGGCTGCTAACATCTAGCCTTTTTTTAAAACATTTTCTTCTTTTCAAGGGTGAAATTATTTGAAAAAGAGTTTTTACGTTGCACTGCGCGGAGGTAGCTAGCACAGAAATCCTTATTTATGTATTTATTTGTTTACCAAACTTTACAATAGTAATTCATTTTTACATAATAATTAAGGATTAACACACAAATAATGGAATACAAAAGCGGGACAGTTTTAATTGAAGCTTAAAAAAGATTTTCGCTAATTCATTAGAAAACTATGGACAATCCCTTGTAAATATTCTTAATAATTTTGACGTTTTGTTCCACACTTAATATTTTTTATATACTTCATAACCAATTAAAATTCCTGATTTTCTGTTACTGAAAATAATAATAAAGTAATTTTATAAAAAATATTACTTAAAACCATTGAAAGATAATGACTGTAATAAAAAAGCAGAAATGGGATGAAATGTCTGTACAAAATTGACGAATCGAATTCGATGATAGGACCGAGATGTCATGGACTCCATTTTCCTGAACAAACTGATATAGTATTCAAACAAATATTCTGTATACTAGCCTTCTCCAAAATTGTTAAATTGTTCCGATGCTTCTTTGGGGTTATTAAAAACAACTTTGAAATCATCATCTGCCATTGGAGCTTCAAAAGAAAGACCAGCTGCTCCAATATGACTGTGCAAGTTATTTCCCACTTGGAGGTCAGCAACGACAGGTATCTGAAATTTTCGTATCATTGAATCAAACTTAATTTAGGCTTTGAAAAGAAACTATTCAAACTAAATACTTAACACAAAATTTATATTATCAATCCGATATTTTAAAACTAATTGAACTAATTTTCATAAAATTCCCGAAAATCAAGCTATTACCTTTCGCTAAACAGTTAGATTTTTCATTCTGAATTATGGTAAAATAACAGGCAACAATCTATCCCTCCTATTAACCGTAAAGAATTTTATGGTTAATGCTAAGGAACATTTTTTTTTACAGTTACAGTTTTGAAATAGTTTACAACTGGTATGGTTAATAAGACTGTGAATACAAAACTGTACAGTTTTTTGACCATTCACAGCTACCATAGTTTTTAAACCATAAAAATAAAACTGAAACGGACATTGCAGTTCTATAGGGCTCTTTCATTAACGCGTGAATGATAGTTTCGTACTCTAATAGATCACGGTCACTAATTAAGGAGCATAGGATACAGGGAATTCTTCATGTGTTGAAGAAATGGTAAAAATATTGCGGTATCAACACTGAGATTCGAACCCTTGTTCAGCCAGTCATGAGACTGACAGATTAGCCCTCTCGGCAACAGTATGTACCCAACTGCACGGAACTAAATGGCTTCTTTAGGTGGGTCTAGTTGGCGAGAATAGAATTCTGGTTGTTTCACTGGATTTTGTAAAAACATTTATTAAGCGTTTTTTCTCAAATTTAATATTTCGAATATAATCTTTTTTACCATTATTTGATGATTTTGGTTGAATATGGTAAAATAATTTAAAAATTCCACCAATGATCGTAATTTCGTCCTGAACCAGAGAACGATCTATCTCCAATTCAGAATCCCTAGAGGTATTGATTTGCTGCGGCTACTAGGAGGACTTTGTGACCCCGACAGATTTAGCATGTACCATTCGGTGATCTGCTGGGAACCGTGTCTTAACGATTCTCATACATTTTGTCATACCAAGATGACACTGCGGGACATCTAAGTAAAGTAAAAGAAGTAGACAAGAAATAATTAGATTTCAACTAACCCCAATGTGCGATACAGCTCTGTAGCAATTAATATTGTGTATTCAATTAACTATTGTTAATTAACATTTCAACTTTTGTAGAGAAATTTAGTTGAAATTTAATACACCATTTTGCTGATAAAGATTAGCTTTCGATGAAGTCATAGTTCACGTGTGCAGGTACGGGAAGTCTTCTTCTTGTAGTGCAAGAAACCAATTGGGTGCTTGTCTTTAATCACAGGGTTGTGTTTAATCAAGTGGTGGTTAACGTAACATCTTGAAGGGTTAGATTTATTGTCACGCTAAGTTAATTTTAAATCTGATTTAATTCGATACCTGCAAGCGACGTTACACGTATGTCGAACCTAATTTGCTATCCCACATGTGGCGGCGCATGCAGGTGTAAAATTATTGCCATCGCAGAGCATTTTAAAAAGGAATAATCCCAAGGTACAGTAATTCTGGCTGCACTAGAGTTGGGAATTTATCCTATATGTTACTATATGAATTTATTTTTAATGAAGGAATTACTTAAAATAATAAACTCACACCAAGTTTTTCCAAGTGACTTCTGGGCCCTATGCCAGATAACATTAAAAGTTGAGCCGAGTTGTAAACTCCTCCGCTGACAATAACTTCGTTATTAGCAAGTATTTCATATTCGTGTCCACCTATGTCAACTTTCACGCCATACGCTTCTAGATTTTTGTTTATAAGAATCTAGAATAGAAAACAAAAAAAATTGTAATTTAAAAGGGTTAATATAAACTTTAATAGACTTTGGTTCGGTTTTTTTTTATGTCGTTGAATTCACATGGTATTATATATTGAACGATTAGTTTTATTTGCTCATTTAAATCAATTAAAAGGCAGACAAATCATTAATACGAAACAAAAATAAAATATATCTACACTGTAAAAGAACAACAATAACTTTCCGCAGTAACAAAATTTCGGTCATTTACAGTAACATTTATGACGAATGTTATTCAAGATAGTTAACAAGGATAAAAATAAATAAATGACAATCTTATTCTTCAGTTTCAAAAATATTATTAGATCAAATTCCAGATAAAACTATATTTGTATTTTAAAACTTTAATTTTACTTGTGATGGTGAATGGATAATAAATCAAGATTTTATAAGATACATTTTTAAATAAAGTGATATCGTCACAGTTTTGTGAGTCGCTGTATCTGTGTAATAGTAAAAAGAAGAAGAGTAACGATACACCATTCAATGATGACTAGATTAGATAAAACATTTACTTTTGTTACTAAAGCATCCGTGACGATGTCTAGATTTGATCTGTCTTCTGCCGGAATCAAAAACGCCTTTGACGTGCTGCATCGTCTACCATTTCTAGTCGTTCCTTGTACTATCGAAAAACCTAGGTAAACAAAATTTAATTTTAAAGTTGAATCTGAGTTTAAAAAAATATAGTTAATTTGGAAATCTGTCATTTTGAAAATCTGTCATTTGGAAATCTGTCTGACTAATTTGAAAATCTGTCATTTTATATTAATAATGTCAAAAATAAGATATGGAAACAATCTAATTTTGAAACGTCACTCTCATTGTTACCTGATTGAAAACTTCATACGCTTCCAAAATGTACAAAAATGAAACGACAGTCGCCATTTTTCAGGAGCATCAAAAATAGGCTCTCATTTTCAAAACTTGACAAGTTGACTGTTATTTCATTTTTGTACATTTTTGAAGCGTATGAAGTTTTCAATCCGGTAATATCTTATCTTTGAGTAGTGGTGGCACAACGGAAGGAGTATCCACCTTTCAATGAGGTGAACCGGGTTTGAATCCCAGTGATGGCTGGTCGATACGAAATACACATCCGGCTCACACCGACCACAACGCTGACGTATATCCTCAGTGGTAGATGCATTATGGGATAGAGTCCCCATGCCATAAGGCTAACCGTGGGTGGGTTTCGTGGTTTTCATCTTCATGTACCGCAAATGCAGGTTAGTACCAGCAAAAAGTCCTCCACGAAGGCAACATTTCTCCCAATACTTGATCCAGGAATTCCCTTGTCTCCTGGATTGGGTTCAAAATTACAAGGTTACGGAGTTGAAAATTGGTAGTCGTAGACGCGAAAAATGGGTCGGTTGCTAAAAGAATGTTATAAAGTATTTTACTGCTTTAGTTTCTTCGGAGTTATAATAATTGGGAGTTATATATAATTATATATAAGCTACTCACATTGATTTAGCATTGTACACAATTCCAAAGGATAACCAACAAAGTATGAAACAAGAGTTGTATGAAACAAGATATTTATTAACATAACAACGAATAATTTATTGGTAGAGAGTAATTTCTTTTTGAAAGGTTTATGCTTTCTTTAGTAAGAAAGACACTATTTTTTTAGTTATTACCATTAACTATTAATATTTACCAGATTTGAAGGAATATTAATCCTTCTCTTTATACTTTTGCGGGTATCCTTACACTGATGTTTTTTAAGGTAAAGATCCATTGCCCGGTATTCTCTACCCTGATGACCAGATTAAAAATATATAATATCAACTAAATGAGATGGTTAGAGAAAAATTTGGGTTTCATAAATTTATTTGTTGAATATGACCATCAACTCAGTAATATTTTTTTTTCAAAAAATATATCTATAAATAAATAATTTTTGTTATAAAAAAATGAAATGTGCTATTTCCGTGGAAGGTATATTTCATAGCTTGCCTTAGAACATCAGGAATTATATATAATATGGCATTTAATACATTACTTATAACATATACATTTTATTAATATGGCTTTATTGACCAGTCTGCTTAAGTCCATTTCATAACTTGCTTAAGAATGCCAACATTATATACAATGATGTCATTCAATACGTTAGCTGTAACATAGATATAATATTAATATGGTCTTACTGACCAGTCTGTTTAGGTTCATTTCATAACGTGCTTAAGAATGCCAAGCAATGTATACAATGATGGCATTTAATACATTGGTTGTAGCATATATATATATATATATAGATAGATAGATAGATAGATAGATAGATATAGATATAGATATATACACCGAAGAGCCATTACATTATGACCACCCTCCATCTATAACAATAGGCTGACCCAGGTTTTCATGGTTTCTCACCCAGGAACAATGTTTTCATGGGGTACATTAGGACCCATAATCCTCATAGAACAATCCCTGATTTCTGTAAGCTACTTGAACATAGTTCACCCATTCATGGCAACAGTTTTTCCTGCGGGGAATGGTGTTTACTAACAGGATAATGCACCATGTCATAAGGGTCGAATCGTCATGGATTGGTTCGAGGAACATTCCAGTGACTTTCAAGTCATGTCTTGGCCCCCAAATTCACCTGACCTTAATCCAATAGAGCATTTGTGGTCCTACTTGGAAAACCAAATTCGTGCTGCCACGCTACCCCCTCGCAATGTGAGGGAATTGCAGGACCAGTTGGTGAGCGCTTGGTACCAGATACCTCAGACTACCTATCAGCACCTTGTGGAATCAATGCCACTGTGGGTGCTAGCAGTGTTGAGGGCTAAAGGGGGTCCTACATGTAACTAGCAGGGTGGTCATAATGTAATGGCTCTTCAGTGTATATATTATAATATTATTATGACTCTACTGACCAGTCTGGTTAGGTCCATTAGTATCTCGATATTTGTAACCTCGTTCTGCAGCTGCATTGGAAAATGCAATAGCTATACGACTATTATACTGCAGACTTTGAACTGTCAGATATCCATCTGTACCGTGGTGACCTAAAATTGAATCGGTTTTTTTTATGAAATTGTTTCTTTGAAAACATAATTGAAGCTCATTTTTTAAGAAAAAAAGACATACTTAGGAAAATTACACTAATTTAAATATAATAAGTTGACAATAATAAATATTATTCGAATGCACCATTGTTAAATACATTGCGCAAAAAAAATAATATATGACCCACTCTGTATAATTTTTGCTTTAATCATCGGATCTTCACGTACTAGGATATAATCTCAATGGTTCAAGGGGAAGACTTCAAATTATGCTAATTAACAAATGCAGATGATATTTTAAGTTACGAAATTATTCACAAACAAAAACGTATATTTTCTATGAATAAACGAACCTTTTTTCAATGCATTTGGATTTCTGACCCTAAAATATAGAGGGTAGTCTCAATCCTGGAAATATGGACCCCATAGTTTGATCAAGAGAGTAATACAAAGCTTCAACCCTTTAATGATAATTTTACTTTATGAGTATTTCGCCATATCTCGAAAATTTTTAAAGCGAATGGAAAAATTATTTGCACATAATTATAAAGCTCGTTAATTGAAGATAATTTCATGCAAAATAAATAATGTTTATTATTTTTTTAATATTTTATTTAATAATAGTTGAAACAATTGGGAATTTTATGATAACTAACTTTTTACAGAATGTAGTAGTTTTGCAGAATAATTTGGTTTTAGATGGCTAAGTACAAATCGGCCATATAGTTCCATGAGCCACCATGGGTGATTCGGAATCATTTACCCAAATTTTTATCGCGTGTTATAAAACCATATTTTACTGTCTTTTTTTACCAAAAGCATTACCAAAGTACTTTTTTTACAAAGTACTTTTCAAAGTAATTTTTACCAAAGTACTTTGGTAAAAATTAGCGAGCTTTTTGGTATTCAACCTGAAACCATTTTCTTTTAGTTTTGCTTATTTTCTTCCTCAGTAGGTGACGCTGGTATAAACCCATTTAACATTTACCAAGATTACCCCGTTTTGAATCTTGATTTCATTTTTTTTTCTACATAAGTTATATAGAGTGCCGGAAAATAAAGAAATGGTCAAATAGCTCGAAATATTCACGTTAAATGTTATGTCTAAAATTATATTTATGAAATATTTTCAAAATATGCATTTAATGCTCTCGAGTAACGCGCATCTGATCAAAATTCCATTCATGTTAAACATTTTCTACAGAATTGAAAGATGCCAAACTCGATGGGAAAAAAATTGAAGAAATGATATTAAACTCAAACTTAATCCGACGTCCAAGAAGTCATGGAGCCACAGGAGAGGGTGAGAGGTTTTTTAGAGAGGTTTTTTAGAATAAAAACCACGTCTATTTTTCGACCTGGCAAATTTTAATTACAGAAAACATAACACATAGTTTTAAATTGATGCATGCTAATGCTTACCATTTCGGACTATTCTTGGATCAGTATTGTTTTCTGATTTCAAGAAGTAAGGATATACATCGTTCCATGACCACCCTTCACAGCCTATTTCTGACCATCGATCATAGTCCTTTTTATTACCTCTCACGTACAACATGTAATTTGCCATGCTCGAACCTCCCAATCCTTTTCCTCGGGGCATAGTAATACGCTGCAAATATTTACTTCAATATTAAAATGTATTGCAAACAAAATATTTTTAATTAAATTGCATTACTTTGATTTAAAGAAATGATGTCATTTTTTATATTTGGTGTAGTTGAATATAATGAATTTTTATATCTAACATAAAAAGAACATCCTTTTCTCACGCTGCGGTGTTTTTGAAAAGTCTTCGGCCGACTGGATCCGAACTCCCGTTCTTACGAACGTGAGTCCAGTTCCCTGACAACCAGGCTATTCCGGCCTCTATCTAAGCTATCATAAAATTATACGAGATTCTGATTTACTTACATGATTTGGATAAGCAAAAGCACCGTTCTTTTGCGGAATAGTTTTGTAATTCCAATCATTTATCGTTTTGGCTATATTCAAGCCAGCCAAAGGCACTTCTGTTAAAACTTGCGCTTTAGGTCCAGCTTCCAAGAGTAAAACACTTACACAAGAATCTTCGGACAAGCGAGATGCAATAACGCTACCAGAAGAACCAGCTCCAACTAAAATAAAAAATATATTAAAAAATAAGGGTCTTTTGGGTGAAATTTATTAGTGTAAAATATCCTCAGTGGAAATCGTATCATGGGATAGTATCCCCCTGCGATCGGGCTAACAGGGGAAGGCTTTTAGGGTTTTCCTCCCGATGTAACGTAAATGCTGATTAATTTACTAAAAAAATCCTTCACGATGGCTAACTTGTTACAACGGTTGATCCAGGAGTTTCCTTGTCTTTTGAGCAAGGATCAAGGCTACGGAGTTGAACACTGATAGTCGTAAACTCAGTCGGCTGTTCAACGCTAGTGTAAAATAACTACCATACTAATAAAATTTGCACCTCTTTTCTTGCAATTATAATTCATCATCTAATTCTGCGTAAACATCTGTTGCTGGTTTAAATCGAGCGTTGATTTAGGATCACTGTTCGCATTACATATTTTCATATAAATATATTTCTTTAGATCACATTCTATCTGACTAATGATTCCCTAAAAATATTGTGATTCACCGAGCATTGGATCAATAACTTCGCATTCTTTGCTTGATTTGCACGAAAAATTTTTTTTACTCTTTTGCTAGACAATTTTCTTTTTAGAAAGCAATAAATTATTTTTTTTTTTATATTCACTGAGATTAATAAATAATCATTGGTTTTTATTAGGTTATTGGTTCTTATAAGGAGTTAAATAGCGTTGGAAAAATTCGCACTTTTTATGAATTTACACATGATATATGAAGATTGGCCTCCCTTCCCCATTTTTCCGACGCGTTGTCAAGCCTATCTTTTTGAATCCTCTTTTTCTTTTGCTGAGAGGTCAACGTGCGCGCACTTAGAGTCTGCAGTATTCTCCGGATGCCCCCTAACGGGGGTGGGACGGGGTTATAAGCTTTGATAGGAAAATTATGATTAAATTGGTCGTGATTTGTTTGTTGAGAAACCGCTCCGAAATAAGCTGCTATATATTTACTAGGGAACTATTTCGCTGACGTTCACCAACACGATGATTGCTTCACAATAATTGCTGTTTCTTTGCATAAAAAAGTTGAAATTATTCAACTAAAATGTATGTACTAGATAAAACACTTGTACCTACATTTCCCTCTTTCGAATTTTTGCCTTATGATACAATTAAGATAAGTGAAATAAATAATTTTTCTAAGTAATCATTTTTCATAACATTTTAAATTATAAGTATATTATTATAACAAGTTTCGTGAGTTTAATAATTTAATAATTTTGTTTACCAAACGGATGGATGTATTTTAAATACAGTTTTTGCATTCATCACTTTGTACATAATGCTGAAAGTTAAGTTTAACGAATATCTTTAACCATAATTTATAATAGTATATTCATGTAATTTGAACCAAAAATAATAATTGTATAACAGTTAATAAGACGAGACACAGACTTAAATAACTTTATCTTAAAATGTAATCGTGAATTGCATTATTCTAATAGTAAAAATAATAAAAGTAATCCTCCTAAATTCTTAATTTAGAAATCAAACAAAATTAAAAACGTAATAATAGCAGGACAGGTAATTTTAACCTTTAAAGTAGGGAAGCAAAACTATTTATAGGAAAACAATAACTTTATGACTTATGTCAATTTTATGCTGAAAACAAACAAAATAAGATAAAGACTAATGTGGGAAAATTGAATCCTACCGTGTGATTTTCAAACCAATGAAAATGAGAACTGTGTGAATAAAAATGAGAACTGTAAAAAGGGAAAACTGTGACACCATTATTAGATTTTTATATATAGTAAGACACTTTTCCAACTTTTGTAAATATTACAGTAAGCGGTACACGAAATTAAAGAAAACTACAGCAAGTTTTTTCAGTTAAATGTTCAGTTCAGTTTTTTCATTTTTTTCATCTTCATCATTGTTACACAACAAAAATAGAATATGTACGCTTCACAAATTTTGTAATTCCACAATTTCAGCGGTTCCTAATGCTTATTTGCCTTCTTTAATATTTTGCAGTATTTTTCTTACATTGAAAGTTCATTAATTATGTCTTTGGAAAGCTTTTGGGATAAATGATTTAAGCTTAATCATTTTCCCACCAAGATCCCCGGTACTCACGCCATGTGATTTCATTCAATGGTGTTACTTCAAATGCTCTATTTATAAACCACCGATGTAACTGAATCATTTCTAAATGAAAAAAAAACTTGTTTCATTTTACTTTATCTCTTGTAAAATTGAACGTATTATAGTTTCAGAAATATAAATATTTCAAACCCTGAACACTTATTTGTTCTAAGCAAGTATTACACTATAATTGTAATCATTGTGGTATTTTGCTTTTCCAATAATTGTGTGAAAATATGATAATTTAAAAACTGTTTAAAAATAACTTTGCTTTTGCAAATTATTAAGAAAAAAAAACTCTCATGATAAGGCATGTACCATAATTACTTTCTTTTTACAAAAATTAAAAGAAATCCTATCAAAGTAAAAAAATTAAGTGTTCAAGGAGACAGAAATGAGCTATAAACTAAACTAAACTCAGCGGCGCGACGGCTCTTAAGGGCCGAGGCCTACTGCGCCGATCTCAGTTTTCTTGACCTTGGGCTCTGGGGTGCAGGAGCAAATGTTCCGGTCAGGTGGTCAGCCGAACGCGGAACCTCAGTGTTTAGTTCTCAAGCATGTATGGTACTCATTTATGGACCCACTGAAGGGATGAAAGGCTGAAAAATGATCTTTAAACATTTCAAAGATCACTTTATTTATATTTTACTTTAAATTCTAAGGAGTAATTTAATATAGTTTCAAAGAAAAATTTTACTTACAAGTAAGTGCATCAAAGAAAACGAAAAGTTTTATATTTCTAAAGCAAAGTTATTAAAATGGATTAAACGCTAAGAAAATAATTTATAAAAATGCAATAGACTTTTGTGTAGATATTCACTTACCAATAATGTAGTCATAATTTGATTTAAAATTATCAGAGATCCGAGGATTGAAGATATCCGTAGCAAGAAGAAATGGAAATACATATTCTGACAGAATTGATATAAATGTCATATTAAATTTAAATAAAAAGCTTAAATGCAAAAATGTATTTAGAAAACGGTCTTGCCTTCTCTAAGTTTTAAACAAGTGCAGGACAGATAAATCTTTCTGCGTTTAATTGTTTATTGACCCTCGGTATGAAATATTTGCTCACCTTTCTACATTGTGTTGATACGATACATGATTAAGTTTTGAAATAGCAATTAAAATTGAATGCATAGCTGTGATAACGTTAGTTATGAGTTTTTCAGTCATTTATTTGATTTTTTGTACCTTATTTGATGGTTCTTTTTTAAATTTCCTTTATCGTACACTGTGGATTTTTTCTTAAGCCCTAAAGTGAAAAAATTCTTCGCTTCTGTATTATCTTAATATCTAGTATTAATGAAATCAAGTAAAGTCGTTTAAAAAATCCGAAATTGTGGTCAAAAATGTATAACAGTATAGCTTTTAAAGTTAGGTATATAAACTAGGTTAAAAAGTTAGGTTATGTAATAAGGGTTAGGTAACAAAGTTAAGTAAAAAATATAAAGAAAACATGGAAGAAAAATCTATTAAAGATTAATGAGAAGAGAAGAAGAAATATATATAGGAGTTTCCTTGTC